ATTTTTCTTATTGCAAGAATTTTTATCAGTTTTCTAAACTTCGAAAAAAAATTAAAACAGCTAAACTGGAATTTTTTAAAATCCTTCTTAAGAATTTGTTTGTTTATATTTCACATTTAGATTAAGATTAAACGGAGAATATTTAAATAATTTCCTCTTTTATTAAAAATCATTTTTATCAACCAAAAAATGTTTGTTGAACTTTATTTCATTCCTTTTACGTTGTTATTAAAAGGGAAATAACTCTGCATTATCAGTTTATGCAAATTCAGAGTGATCACTTCGGCGTGGTGTAATGGTTAGCAAGCTTGTCTCGCTTTATCAGTTACAACTGAAAAGTGAGTTCGATCCTCACTAGATGCTCCATTCTTTCGACCTTGTGCCACATCTAAGCAATTCTTGAAAATAACTATATAAATTCAGAGTTATTTCCCGCTGCAAATTCCTTTGGTAAACATAAAATTATTGATTTCTTTTTCAGACAAGATTTTCATTCATATAAAAATTTAAAAAATCAGAAATTAACGCATGTCATTTCTGAAGAAGAAAATCGTAAGAAAGAACTCAAAAAATATATTTATTATTCAAATGAAAAATTAATTTAATAAATGAAAAATGTGACCAACTGCTATTTTGAAATGGGTTCACGTAAGCATCAAAGTAACATTGGGAAAGTATTTTGGAATAAAAGATAAGACAATGAATAAAGTAAAATGATTAGACGTAAAAAAAATACAAGTAGGCGATTTGAAAGTAATTGTAAATTAGAATAATAGCAATACAAAAGTTTACTTTAGAAATATTTGGGTATATATATATATATATTAGATCAAAATTCAGCTATAAATAAAAATCTCTCTGTAAAAAGACAATATGGACGCTTTCCGAATGTAGACGAAAATTGTTCTTTATGAAACGAGTAAAAAGAATGTCATCCAATGTTCATAGTTGTAAAGGTTAGATAAGGTGGGAGACAACAATTGCCAATGTATTATCTGGTTAAACTGCCATTGAAATGAGGGCAATGTCTAAACTTTTCTTATCACTGACAAAGGAGCTTATCTCGCCTGCATTACGCCTTCTACTTTATCTAACCAGTGATAAAGTATGTCATCCAATGTCCATGGGTGTCAAGGTACGCTGACTGCATTTGAAATGAGGACAATGTCTAAGCCTTTCTTATAAACGACAAAGAACCTTATCTCGCCTGCATTACTTTTTCTTCTTCACTATCAGCACAAATGAGATATCTCTGACGGAGAAATTAAGTTGATGTTGGCATGCATTACAAATTACTGCCTTATTTTGTCAATGATGGAGATCTATCTATCTATCTATCTATCTATCTATCTATCTATCTATCTATCTATCTATCTATCTCATGTTGGCGAAATTCACATTGCCGCTCAAAATGCTCACTGTTAAAGAGTTGAAAAAATTATAAAGCTGAGAATATGTTGAGTAAACTTTTAGCTTCAGAAAAGTTGATGGAGTGAATGTTCCGTAATATTTGGAATTAAGTTTTCTTTGCTTGTCATTAAATTTGAATTGTTCATAATGGAGTTTGAAAAAAATCCTATGTTTGTAACGTTGTTTGGGAAGTTTCGTACGTTCGTGTATGTGTGTGTGTATGTTTTCATAGCGTCCGTCCGCAAAGGGGCGAAACGTGATCTCTTTTTTACAGCAACATTTTTGTAGCGAGAGAAATCAAGGAAAAACGAAAGAACGAATTCGTGTCTGGTATTTATAAATCAACTTAATCACGTGACAGACTCGAAAGGCATTGATAGATTTTGGGTGGAATTATTTTTTAGTCAGGTCAAGAACTAGGTCTATGTTACTCGGACATGATTTAAATATTAAATGACCAATCAGAAGTCGAGGTTTTCTGAAAATATGTAGGAAGCTGGATAAGGTCTGTGATCCGCTTTTTGCACAGAAATCGACATTGATAAAAAAAAAAAGTGATAGCGGAATGCTAAAAGTTAATGTTACCCCGGATTTTAATTCCGATAAAAATCCACTGAACTGTATTTTGAAAATTTCTATTCTCTTGAATTTATTTTCACATCTATAGTAAATAAAAGCGTAACTTTTAAAAAAACGAATATTAAAAAAACAATGTAAATTTAAAAGAAGAAGAATATTAAATACAATAATTTGATAAAATATTTAATATTTATTTATTCAAATATTCGAGTGTGTCCGGCTAAAACTTAAAAACTACAATAATTAACGTGTGTGTGTATTATTGACTTATTAATAGTTTTCGGCCATCTTATGGAAAGGAATTTTTTATTCAATCTTTAAAAAATAAACTTCGTTGTTTTTTTAATTTGTAATTAACATAAAAAACTAAAATAAATAATTTTCAATTAAGTTTTATTAAAGCAAAAACTATATCGAGTTTTATTTTTTCGAAAATTAATTTAAATAAAATATAGTTAAATTAGTAAAACGAATATTCAACACGACTAATTTTGAAGTCATGTCTGTCTCTTTAATTTTTATTTTTAACTAAAGTTTGGTTTCTTTTTTCAAATAGAAATATAACATAATCGCTTTTCAAAACTCAAACTTGCTTCTACTCTCTTTCAAAATAGTAATTAACTTTACTTATAGAAAAATGCTTGCTTTTTTAATGTAATAATGTTTAAAAGTAAAACTTTATTTATTTTTTAAAAAAATCTAAATTTCCCTCCAAAATAAAGAGTAAGTAATTATTTTTGGAAGTAAGGTTCGCGATAGTTTTTTTGTAACAAACCAAAATTTTTTTAAAGATTGAAACCCGAATCGAATTTCTTTTTTAACCTGTATTGTTAATTTTTTTGAAAGAATTAATCGGAAATATACTAATTAAATTTGTATCCGTTTATAAAAAAATTATTAGTCAGTAGTATAAAATAATTAAAAATAATAATTAAATGTGTCAAAATATAAAATAAAAGATTTTTACATTTTACAATTAGGATTTTTATTTTTGGAAATAAAAAAATTTGCGCAAAAAATAAATTTAATTAATTATTTTATACTAATATTAACTAATAAAATATTATATAGTCGTGTTTTCATTTTCTACTACTTTTTTATTTTTAATAAGTTTTTTTTATTTTAGCAACAATTAATAAAAAAGTTGATAGTAATTTTTTTCAAATGATTAAATGTCGTGAGTTATTTGAAATAAAAAGGAAAGAAAAGAATTCTCCCCTCTCTCATCGTTCCATGTTTTCTCTCTTGTTTCTCTCTTTCCCCCCTTCTCTCATCTATAACACGTAAAGAAAGTCACGTGTCCAGGGGCGTGATTATTCTCGTCCAATGTAATGTCTTGTATTCCGATGACGTCATCCGTACGGCCGACGCCCTTTGCAGTTTGCTTTCAGAAAATTCAACAGACAAGACGTGTTTTGTTTTCGTCTCGCTTCTTTTCATCCCAAAAGTGAAAATCAAAATCAAATGTAAGTAAGAATTTTCTTATCGTTTCTCCAAATCATTCAACCTTCTTCTTAAATGTTTCCATCAACACAACAAAACCTTTTTCTTCCTTTCTTTTTAATCATTTCAACCCAATGAAGGCAAGAAAGCCACTACGACAAAAGTTTCAAAAAAAGAAAAAAAATTATCTTTATTAAATTCATTTTTTTCTTTTCTCTGCCGAAAAAATTGAATTTAATTTTGAAAACTTTTTTCTTTTTTAATCGAAAAATGTTCGGTTGACTCGTTGTCAATTTGTTGATTTGTTATTGAATAAAGCAGACAATAAGTTATTTTGTCGCCGAATTTCCTTATCTGCTTGTGAAATACTTGGAAACCCTTCCGAAAATTCGGTCAGTCTATTCGTATCTATCGGTCTATCTATCGGTCTAGCTCTTTGCTTCTTTAAAAGCAAAGAAAAAAAAGAAATCCCCCCTTCCTCTCTCTTTCTCCCTCTCTCATTATTCGAAATCATTTTTATCATTTCTTGACCATTTTCTTTTTTCACAGAAAAATTCTTGTCTGACTCGTTCTCTTTGTTTTCTTCTTCTTCTTCTTCTTCTTCTTATTGAACAAAGGAAAGAAAACGATAAGTTTTTTGTTTACCGCCCTCCCCGATTTCTTATCTGCTTTCTTAAGTTTTGTTGTAGGATTTAAAAAGGAAGACGAGGCACTACTTAAGTAAAGTGGTCCGCTTATTAAAAAACAAAAAAAAATAATGTTTAAAATACTTACTTCCGAAAAATCTATCTATCTATCTATCTATCTATCTATCTATCTATCTATCTTTTAAATATTGAGAGGAAAACCAAATTCTTTTTCTCTATTCATAGAATTAGTTTATTTTTTTTTTAATTGTTCAAATTATTTTAGCAAAAGAAAAAAATTCTTTTATTCAATTTAAATTAGTTTCCTTTTCGGTTGTTATGCGTAGACCACTTTATTTAAGTAGGGCTTAATTTACTCGCTTCTATTGTCCTTGTGCCATACTAGATAAGCGAAGAAGATAAAAATATAAATTGGCAGTAAATAAAAAAAATGTCTTCATTTTGTACGTGTCTTTTTGAAAGAAATTGAAAAAATAATTGGAAAAAATGTTAAAATTTTCAAATATTACAATTGATGAAAAGAGAATGTTAAATGTGACTGTGAAAGCGGAAAATTAGAAGTCCCCCCGCTCCTTTCTATTTGTTTCTTTTATATTTTCTTTCCTTCTTTTGAATTACTCTTCTCTCACTCTCTTTCTTTATTGATAACCACTCTCTCCATTCCCCACTCTCTCACTATTTCATTCGCCCCACCCCTAACTCTTCTCCTCCCATTCATTTATTAGGGATTTTAGAAGAAAATAATTTTCTTTCCGGAAATTGATTTGTTTTTTTCTTGTAAAATCTCAAAATTTTAGGTAATTTTACTTCCGGTTTTATAAATAGAATTTTTTGTCTTTTTCTGATTTTGAACTTTGACCATTTTTTTTTTTTTTTTTTTTTTCAGATTTGATTGTTTTATCTTCAAAAGAATTTTTCTAAATGGCGTCCAATGTAACTGAAGAAGAGACATTCCAATGCTCGAAATGCGTCGAAGTTTTGGATTTGGCATCGAGGACGTTGCCATGTCTTCATTCTTTCTGTGGGTCGTGCGTGAAGATGATTCTTGAAGGAAATCGCTTGTGTCCCCAGTGCCTCCAGTCTGTGACAGGTGACGAGTTGCGACTGGCACCATTTTTGGTTAGGTCTTTGAGGCGTCGTCACCTGGAATCCCGCCAACTGAATTGTGATACGTGTTCGGAAGACGGCAAAGAATTGACCGGCCAGATTTGGTGCCAGGACTGTCAGAAACTCTTGTGCCAGACTTGCGAGGGATTTCATAAGAAATTCCAAACCAGACACGAGACCAAAATCTTGTCGGGCGTGTCGAGGGTGGAGGCCATCCGGGTCATCACAATTGATGACTGTCGACAGCACCGCCAATCCAAGGACGCCTTTTGCGACCGGTGCAACGTGTGCATGTGTGACGCGTGTTACGTGAATCACGTGACTGCCTCACCTCAGTGTCCGTCTCGTCCGCTCTCGGTGAGGGAGGAGGCGTCGAAGGGGAAGGAGAAGGGAGGCCCCACCCTGGAGCGAGAACTCTGCCAGTTTGAAATCAACATCCGGGCAACGAACGAGCGAACGAGGCGATCCATTGACGAACTGTCAACGGATTGCGATACGGAATGCTCCAAACTCTGGCAAGATTTTGAGACATTCATTGAAGAGACACGGCTCAAGTTGGGAGAGCTGTGCGAAAATATGAGAGGGATGGCGTCCGAACTGGAGAGAAAATGGCGCCTCTCCCTCAAGGAGAGAGAAGAACTTTTGGGGAAGGTGAAAATCTGGCGCCACACCTTGGGACATTTGTTGAGTGACGACACCGACGATGAGGACGTCGTTTGTGGATTGAGGTTGGTGGGAGCTGAGCTTTCTGCGCGGCTCCACCAATCGTTTGCTCCACCCGATAAAGGACATTGGTTTGTGACCTTTCCCAAATGGTGTCACGATTCCCTAGAGTCACTGAAGAAAGAAATAATCGACTGGACATCCGGGCATTTGCAATTGGAAAGTGAATGCCCTCTGCAAGGATCGAACCCGTCGTTGATTTCATCGATTGTCGCCAGCGACGAAGACAATCACGTCTTTGTTGGCGATTGGGACAGCGAATCGATTCTAGAATTCAGAGATTCTGGGGAATTGGTCGGCCAATTTCCCTTAACGGATGGAGGAGAGGGATTCCGCCCCTGGGACATGTGTCGCCTCCCCGAAGACATTTTGGTTGTTTGTTGTCCTTGGGGGTCGGGAACGAGGGTGAGGGGAAGACTTTTCTTTTTGGCGCGACAAAAATCGCCGCCATTTTTAAAAAAGCAAAAAGTAATTAACACAAAAGTAAAAGAATTTTATTCTTTGTGTCAAATTCAGAAAAAAATTTTCGCTTGTGATCGGAATTTTAAAGAAATTGTTTGTTTCAATAAAATGGAGAAAAATAAAAACAATCCACCCTTGGAGGTCACCGGAGGGGAGTGGTTTAACCCGCCTTCGTGTCGATCCGACGACTGGGAATTTATGGGGACAAGAGGGGAGCATCGGAAATCTTTGTCTGGAATGAAAATGGAGAAATTCTTCAAAAATTGCAAATAAAAAATCATTTTTTCGATTTTTGTTCAAATAAATTTGGATTTTTTATTTTTCGACCATGACTTTTTCTTTCCCTTTTTTTTTTCTTTTTTCTTTCTTTTTTTTTGTTTTTTTTTTTTTTCTTCTTTTCTTTTTTTCTTTTTTCTTTTCTTTTTTCTTTTTTTTTTTTTCTTTCTTTTTCTTTTTCTTTGTCTTTTGTTTGTCTTTTTTCTTTCTTTTTTTCTTTTTTTCTTTTTTTTTTCTTTTTCTTTTTCCTTTTCTTTTTCTTTCTTTTTCCTTTCTTTTTCTTTCGATTTTTCTTTTTTCTTTTTACTTTTTTTTCTTTTTTTGTTTTTCCATATTTATATTATTTTAAATTTTTCTTTTTATTTTTGTTTTCTGCCTTTTGAATTTTTTTTTTTTTTTTGTTGTCACGTTTTTTTTTTTTCGCAGGGGGTGGGGAGGATTGCCTTAATTTTCTGAAATTTGTCTACCATTTGTTTGAAGCCATTTCAGACTGACATTGGTAAGGAAATGGTAACCATAAAAACAAGGAGGACCGGCGACGGATTTGTAGAGAATTTGTAAAAGAAAATGTCGGTTACTTTTTTTTTTTTTTTTTTTGAAAGAAATTCCAAATAGGTTTTTGCTTACTGCAGAAAGAGCTGGATGTTGTGGAGAGCCACAGCTGCCTACACTTTGGTCGGGAATAGAAGGGCAGGTTGAAATTAAACGGAGTGGTTCGTCTATTCCGGAAAATGTTGTAAAAAAGGCAAACAAAAAAACAAAAAAATATCATCATCATCATCATCATTAATCTAATTAAAAAAAGAAGAGAGAAGAAAATGGCGTCGTGGACGCACCATCATCATCATCATCATCATTAAAGAATTAAAAACAAATTTCTCTGAAATAGAATTAGAGGATAAAATACTTTTTTTCACAGACCCACAAAATGTCAACCCTCTTCCTCCCCTCACAACAAAATGTCAGCTCCCCTTCCTCTCTTCCCCCAAAATGACATCTTCCTTTCATATCAAAAGAATATCAAAAGAAAAAAATTACTAAAGGTAGTAAGGGGTTCAATCCTGGCCTACCGTTCGTCGAACATGTTGTAAATGAGTTGATCTGGGAGGAGAGTCCAAGACAATGCCGAAGCCAAAATGCCGAAGTAGGAATTCTTCAAAAGACAATCCGAAGAGCCGGAAACATTTTCAGTCATCCAGATAAGAAAAGAAAACTTAAAAACATAAGCAGTCAAAGGGGAATAACTCATGATTAATTCGTTCGGTTATCCCCCCTGAAATTGACCATTTTTTTTAAATTTATTATCACTCCCTCCCATCTTCACCAGCCTTTCGATACAAATCTAAAAATAAACTTTCCTGAGACTCATTAATAATCCATTAGATTTTGTGTATTTATTTGCCGGTGTTTTGAAAAAAGCATGTTGTCGGCCTTGAAAAGTCGCCCGAAATTGTCTGCCTTTTACCTGCCATGAGTTAATTCAAAATCAGTCAAGCCGAATGAAGGGATCGAAACTGGGAAGATTTATTTATGTACGTTCACTGTATTAATGCCCTTGGGACAAAAGGCATGAAACCATCACAACCCCGTCCTCTCAGTAATGGAGGTTTCAGCTGTGGTAGTTTCAATATAATATTAATTTCAAATAAAATTCAAGGAAGCTAAGCTGAGAATGAAGAAAAAAGAAATATTCGTTACAAACAATGAAACGACTGCCGAACTGCGACGTGATTATCTGTTGCCCTCAATGGTAGTGGATGCTGGATGATCTTCTCAAAGAGGAAGAGGAGACTTGAAGCGACAGAGATGTGGCTCTACTGGAGGATACTGAGGATACCATGGGCCTTACATGTGAGCAACGATGAAGATTTATGGAAAACTTATACTTAACATCATGAAGAATGAGTTGAGGTTTCGACGGTGGGGGGGGGGGTGAATAATGAGGACGGAGGGCTCGGAAAATCTGATCCTCACGGACAGATAAAAGGATAAGAGGAGAAACAGCGCCTGACATTATTGGGGAGAGCTTGAGTAAAGGGAGGAGGAAACAGGGCTTAGGAGAAATAACACAAAGTTTATGAAGAACTCTAAGGGACAGGAAGTTGTGGAGAGCCATGGTCTCATATGTTTCGGGTTACATGAAAAAGTAAGTATTTTATCCGTAATTTTATTTAATCGAAATTTTTGAATTATGATGATGATGATGATGATGCGATCCTGACGACATTTTCTTTCTCTTCATTATTAATCTGATTGATGATGATGATGTTACGAGTCCAATTTTCTTTTCTCTCCCCCCGCCCCACTTCCTTCTGGATTAGACAAACCGCTCTTTTGAATTGCAACCTGCCCATCTATTCTGGACGCAAGAGTAGACGGTTCTGGCTCTCCACAGCCTCCACCTCTTTCTACAATATCTGGGAAGTGGCCATACAAAACAAAAACCTACAAAAAACAACAACCGTCTCTTTTTTCTCTTTTACGAATTCTCTCAACGCCCCCCACCTTGTCAGCCCGTCGCCGGTCCTCCTTGTTTTTATGGCCGCCAGTTCCTTGCAAATGTCAGTCTGAAATAGTTTCAAACAAATGACAATTTTCAGAAAATTAACAACCCCTCCCTCCTACAAAAAAAAATGTGACAGAAAAAAGAAAAGAAAAGAAAGAAAACAAATAAAAAAAAAGAAAGAAAAAACAGAGGAAAAGAAAAAAAGAAAAAGAGGAAGAAGAAATTCAAAAAAGAAAAAAGAAAAAGAACGAAAAAACCCGTTTATTTTTTGACTAATCTCATATTGTTATCCTTCGAAAAATTGTATATTTTTATGCACTTCATTTTTATTTATTTGCATAAATAGGCATAGATATATTAAAGAAAACAGACCACTTTAAGGTTCCAATATAACAATTTATTTCACCAGAGCCCTTTTAAAGGACGCTGGGTCTGTCGATGAGGGAGGAGGCATCGAAGGGGAAGGAAGAGGGCAGCCCTACCCTGGAGTGGCAACTCCGTCGGTTCGAAAACCGCATCCGGGCGACGAACAAGCAAACGTGGGGATCCATTGTGTAACTGTCAACGGATTGCGATTCCGAATGCTCAAAACTCTGGCAGGATTTTGAGACATTCGCTGAAGAGGCACGGATCAAGTTGGGAGAGCGGCGTCGTCCGAACTGGAGAGAAAATGGCGCTTCAAAAATTGTCCAAGCCCCTGCAAATGTCGGTTGAGCTGGCCTCGGTGGTGACCACCGATCCCTCTTCCTAATAGTGTAATGAGAGGTTGTAGATTTGGGTAGCTGTTTCCCCAGGGCCGGGCACCTCAAAGTATTATTCTCCTCAGCTGCATCTGAGAGGAAAGAGATGCAACTGAGAGATGGCATGCATCCCTAATGTCCAGCAGCGCCGCAAAACACTATTTTTTGTTGTTTTTTGTGGCTTCTTTATATCCTGAATCAATCTTACAACGCTGGTTAAGATTTCTCTTGCAGCTGTTTTTTAAAAATATGGCAGTGCCGATAGGATGCAACAGTTTCTATCTTTAATATTCAACATTACTCAACTTCTTGTTTAAAACAAATGTTCCGTGCGTAAAAAGTCCTCTAACTTCTTTAGAAGTCCACCTAAGTCCTTTCCTCTTTAGTCACTGAACAACTCCTCCCTTAAGGGCTAGGCGTGGTCTAGCCCAACGGCGAAATTGTAATTATCGTTCAAAATTCTTTTTTATCATGCTTTTGTGTGTGGTCGTTTTTCACATCTGGAATCTATCGTTTGTATCCCATCGTCAAACCTTTTGGTCAGCAAGCGGCAAAAGGAAAAATTCTTTGATTTGGCGAAATTTTGTCACTTTTCAGCAGATGAAAAAATTGTCATTCTTTTATCTATTTTCTGCTGAAAACCATTCTACTTTTAAAAGCTAATACTTACCTATCGACCGAACTTCCAACCAGGGATGTGTCCTTCTCCTATGCTCACAATGGTCATAAAAATATTATATATTTCTTTCCAAGAGGTCGGCGGTCCTCCAGGATAGCTCATCACTTATATCTCAGTTCTTAATTGGAACCAGATTGTCTCTTTCTTTTTACGTCTTAATTACCTTCTTTTAGTTTCTTTTTCTATCAAAAAATCTCGCTCTTTTATTTTCCATTTGTTTGGTCATCAGTATATCTTTCAGTCTATCCAAATTTAGTGTTTTTCAACCTTTTAGTTTCTTCCCTCCCCTTTAAGGAAAGATTCCTCCGAGTCCACTGACGAACTGCGACCTCGGCCTTCTCTCGCACCTCCGACCAATTCATTTCCAACAGGAGGTCGTTACCGAACCAGACTCCGAGTATCTTGACCTGCCCGTCCCGTCCATAGCAATCGGATCCAAGTGCGAAAGTCCACCCCGAAACCAGCGGCCGAAAGGACAGCCTCCAGAAATCGATGGTCAACCCTATCGAAAGCCTTGGACTGATCAAAATTGATCAGCGCGGCATCACTGTTGACTCGCTCGATGATCAAGCGTACCAAATGAAGGTTGTCCTGAATAGTCCTGCCCTTCACAGCACAAGTCTGCTCGGGAACAATCAGAATAGAGAGGACAGCAGCAAACAGCTGGCTAAGACTTTGGCTAAAATCTTCAACTCTGTATTTAACATCGTCAAAGGCCGATAATTATCTACCCCATCCCCACCGTTTTTTTTCTTGCGAAGCAACTTGATCACACCCCTGGTGAAGCGTTGAGGAATAGACACCTGCTTCATCCAGTTGTTGAAAATCTGTGACAGCAAGGGGACAAAGACGGGCGACTGTCTCAAATACATTTCATAGGGAATACCATCTAATCCCGGAGTCTTGTACAGGCCAACCTGCTTCAGCGCATCCCAGATCTCAGACTCTGTAATGGACCCCTCGCACCCAGCCGCCTCAAGGCGGGGAAAGTCGGCAAAATAGGCATCGAACCTACGTTTAGATTTCAAATAATCCCACCACTTATTCCCAACCACAGCTTCCGACAATTGCCGCTGTAGCATTAGTAAAAGCCGGTCCCGGAAATCTTGCTCAACAAATAATGATGCGTTCAATTTCCAGTAACCAGCCATCTTAACCTTAGGCTTATCTAAGTGTACCCGAACCCGGATTTCGACCTCAGGCCACGGACTTACTAACTAGAGTCCCATTATCAGACCGAATTCGGTTTGGAGCACTGGTTTGAACATGGTCGGGGTAAGGATACCGACAGCCTCTCCCATAGACCCGTGGCCCATTTCAGACTTGATGGCACCGTCTTGGGAGATTCAGCTGATATCCCAAGGAAATGTCAGTTTAAGGGCTCTATATAGGGAGGGGTGAACTAAAACTGGGACCATCCTTGCACAAAATTGTTTTAAATGTTTTAGTTGTTTATTTTGGACGATTGCAATTGGTAAAAGCCATCTTATATGACATGATGGCCTCGTCGAGCATGGCCCCAAATCTGTTTTGCTCCAGTGCCTGTTCTGATCACTGTCAGAACCCTTTGGGCAAGCGGATGTTTGAGGTACTTCAACATCCATGTCTGCATACTGCCTGATTGAAAATAGGTACTTTAGATCTTTGATGTGGTTGCCATAATCCCTGGCTCTCTCGGCCTGAGCAGGGGAAATCCGACAAGCATCCTCCCCCGTGTTGTAAATGAGTTTCTGCATCTTCTTCTTCTTCTTGTCTTTCAGCTCCTGTGTGGGGCTTCTCTGTTGCTTGGAAGAAGTAGATGGAATTTCAGCATTTTTAACAGGGGGAAAAACTGGGAGTATGAAGAAGAGTTTAACGGAAGAAGGACTGGTAGTGTGAAGAGGGTTGTAGATTGATCTTTGTCTGTAAGGGCTGAGATGTCTGCTGAGGGGAAGTGATTTAGAGGGTGTTGCCAGAGGGGAAGGTTGTTTCTTGGGTGAAGGTGTGGACCGGACAGAGGACGTGGAAGGAATAGGATTTGGGAGTTGAGACTGCTTTTGTTTGTCTAGTTTCTTCTTCATCTCCTTAAC